TTTGTACCTGCTCGGTCAAGCTCTTTGCTTTTCTGAGTCCGTAAATCCACTGAACAGTCCATAAAGGTGAGCATGAAAAACTTGTGCCTCCTCCCCATATGTGACAGTGTAGCGTTTCAAATACCAAAAATAGCAGGGCATCTAGGCTGTTCTCACCAGCAAATGATGGCAAGTTTAATAGAAACATTTCATTAGCCAGTGGGTAAGGTCTGTAATAAGTGCATTTATATAACTGTTGATCTGTGGCTAGGAATATGTCAACAATAACAATCTAAAGCTTAAATTACTGAAACTTGACATTAACTTACACAGCAACTTGGTTTTAGTTATATATTTAGTAGGGACAGGCCGTTCTGGTCACATGATATTTCACAACTTTCAGAATTGACAGGAAATATACAGCTGAATGGCCACAGTTTGCTCAAAAGCTGCTGGGAAGTACACCTGTTGCATCTAATTTTGCATTTCTCTTAACAAACGTGAAGACATTTTCAAAACAGGATGGCCCTTTTGTAGAAAAAAGAAAAACTCTGCGTAGCAACACACACAGATTCCTCCTTGCCTGCCTTCGGCCTTTTAACCTGTAACTCTCTTTTCCCTCTCTGTTTCCCAGATCAGGAACGGTGTGCTTAGATGTCATCAACCAGACATGGACAGCCCTTTATGGTGAGTGACTACGCTCTGTGTCTGTATTGAGTTCCCTCTCTGAGGGTCGTGTGATTATGTGTGAAGAACTTGACACAGTGCCATCTGCACAAAATAAATACTGGCAGCTTCTCTTTAGCAAATGGTGTACTGTTGCTCTTTAATCTACTTACTGTGGGGAAAAGTGAGCACTAACTAGGTAATACTCTCAACCAGCAAGGTCAGAAAACAGTCACCTTCGACAGGAGTGAGTTATTATCTGTCAGCTGTGGAAGACATGCCCACATATACTTGATGGGAGCAATTATACTCAGTTACTTTCCCTCACTGTTGCTGGTCTCCCTGCTTCACTGACGTCCCCGTGCCCTTCTCTCAGTAAAATTCCCCATTAATTTCCCATAATATCCACTTCACAGGGTTAAAATAGCTGTTGAGTAGTATAAATGACTTTAGAGTAATATACCTAGCAGATGCTCCGGCATCCCTTGGTATTTATTTTAGCTCATGTTCCTACTCAGGAGAATACTGAAACCCTAAATGCTATTTACAGAACCAATAAAAATGAACTGAGAATTCATTCGGTCTTAATTATTTTCCAGCGAATGTTGTATTTGTGTGGATTACTGTAGGTTTTGTTGTGTCGGATGTTTAAAAAAAACAAAACAACAACAACAAAACAAACCACACAGAAATGAGCCAAATGACAGGAATAGGCCAGTCAGCCAAGCATTGTGTAATGAGCCTATACAAAGGAAGAGGGAGCAAAAGCTTTTGATTTAATCTTGTAAACACCAAAAACAGTGGAAAAGAACTGGGGGAGTGTTTGCTTTCCTTACATAAATGGACCCAACAGTGACACCTAGGAGATGAAAGTGTCATCTCAGGTTTTGGACTCTCCCTCAGCTCTGAGAGAACTAGCTGAGACCTAGTGAAAAGCGGTGGTTTTTTTGTTTTTGTTTTGTTTGTATTTGTTTCTTCCTGTGTGAGTTAATTCCCAACTGACCCTTTTTAAATTAAGCTAAACTAAGCTATGATATGGTAACTCAACAAGAGCACCCAGATTTTTATTGGGCACATAACGGAATGACATTTCTTTACCAGATTTATTCAGATTAGAGGTTACATTTACGAGTTGCCCGAAAATAACAGCCATTAAATGAACAGCAGTTCATATCGGAGAGCTTTATAAGGTTACATGCTTTGGGGGCAAACCCTAAAACTGTCAATCAGTTTCAGCAGTCCACTTTCCAAGGCAATGGTAGAGTATCCAGTGGGGAGACATGCACAATGAGAGTATTGGAGAGTTCTTATTAGCCAGTCAACAGCCAAACTGTGAAACACATAAACCTCTGGATTGTTGAATTAATGCATGCGCACATTAGAGCATCAGACCAGGCATCTCGAATCATTATTACAGTAAAAATGTAGGTAAGTGTACTTCTGTGTTTCTTGGTTTACCATATCTAATGTGATTAGCATTTTTTTTCCCCCGAGGGCTTTGTTGGGATAAACCAGATTATGTTGGCAGTGTGGATTAATGAAGCTGCAGTGTTATGTAACTTTAAACATGAATGATAGATCTGTAACTTGGAAAGGAAAACAAAATTCTAATAATTATTTGTAAAAAATAAACTCTAAAGCGCCATTTTTTTTTAAAAAAAAAATCAGGTTTTCCTGGTGACTCTAGAACTTCAGTTCTAACCAGTACATAAAACTGCATGTAAAGCTATGATGCTCTCACCCCATCCATTTAGAGTGGCTTAAAACAACTCTTCAAACAACTGGCTTGATGCATTACCAAAATAGCTGCTAAGTCACTAGAAAGAACTAATTTCTTTCCATGGGGTAAAGAGATAAGGTTTCCTTTTGTTTTTCAGATTTGACCAACATCTTTGAGTCGTTCCTGCCCCAGCTGCTGGCCTACCCAAACCCCATCGATCCCCTGAACGGAGATGCAGCTGCTATGTACCTTCATCGGCCAGAGGAGTACAAGCAGAAAATCAAAGGTTCAACCTAATGAAAATATGCTACCTGCAGCAATCCTTTTTTTTTTTTTTTGTATCCAGCAGAATATAAATTTGTAGAAGTATTTTCCTTTCAGGAGGTATTTTCCTTTTTATTGCAGACCAGCCAGCTCACCTTTTAAATCTGTTTTCTCTATTTCTTCCGCAGAGTACATTCAGAAATATGCAACAGAGGAGGCTCTGAAGGAGCAGGAAGAGGGGGCAGGCGACTCTTCATCTGAAAGCTCCATGTCTGACTTCTCAGAAGACGAGGCCCAGGACATGGAGTTGTAGTAATAGGAGGGTTCCCCCATCCTGCCCCCTGCCCCCCCCCAACCCCCACAGAGACTATATTTGATTTCCTAACCATGAGAAAGCAGACTTATAATATTCATATTTAAACAAGTTGATTTTTTATTATTATTATTATTATTACTACTAAACAAGGATTTTTATGGATATATAGCCTTTGGTGTGTTTGACCTCCCCTCCCATTCTGTAGCTGTTTCTCCTCACACGCATCCACGTTCTCTGCCTGTCAGTCTGCTCATTTGTGTGGTGCGTCATCTAAGAAGCTTCCATGTGAACATCTGATTTCTCTACACAAATCCACTTTATAAAACTTCCTTTTTGACCTCAGTGACATATAATTTCCTTTCTTTTCCCATAATACCAGTTGACTCTGACCATTTTTGTTAGTTGGTCCCCATCAGATCAGGTTAGGTCTTACTTGCCCTCTCTGGTGTACATCACCACATATTTGGGGGGGGTTTGTTTTGTTTTTTTAAATGCACACACTGACACACAAGTGTCCGAGCACATTTTATATGAAGTGCAGTGCCAATAGACGCTAACAAATCAACCTGGAATACCTCTTAAGCATATCTCTTAAAGCATATTATGAGAATATGAAATAGTTTGGGTTTTTTTTTTTTATCATTCAGTTCAGATTCTACATGGACTGTTACATTACTCTTGCATTGCTCTTTGTTACTCTGTTGACCTGCAGCTGCCTGTATATGTTTGCTGACCTGTTTTAGCTGCTCTCCCTTTAAGTCAGCCTCCTTATGATTGGCCGCCCATGATAAACAGCAGGCGGAGCCTCTTGTGCTTCTAGCCAGAGCCGTGTACATCATGCAGAGCCAAGAGTAGGAAAACAAAAACGTATCAAAGCGAGCATTTAGAGCAGCCTTTTCATGTAATGTCCTCACTGTGTGAAACTACTTGTTTAATTTGAGAATCCAACATAATGCATTATAAGCAACAATGCTAAAGATCTGTTTTGTACAATGTATGCTAGCTGCACAAACTGTACATGTAAGGTCAGTGCACACAGGCAGTGAAGACAGAAGGTAGCTCTAATATAGGTTTTCTTTTGTGGGCGTTCTGGTCAGACTCTCTTGGTATTTTGGGAACTAAAAATAGACCAGAGCTACACTTTAACCATCTGACCGTGCATATGCATTTTATACTCCACATCAGGAGTCACCTCAAACACACAAGCACCAGACTGTGTCATTGTGAAGGGAGGTCTCTGTATTACAATCAGCTGTATATGTGTTTTTTGAAACACATTTCTAGTAGTGTTATTGGTCCTAAGGAACTTTTCTGACTATATAAATATTTTTTAAAAGGAACAGCACTAAAGTCTGTTTTAATCTCAGTAAAAAAGCAACAAAAATGGTCATATGGTTACTGAGTGGATCTGAGTGAAATTTAAAAGTAATTTGTCCCCCTCCCTGTTGAGGTTAGTGTTGTATCAGTCTTCCTCACATTCCACTGTTACTCTGGATTTGCTCCGATGCATGCTCTCCATGTTGGTCTGACTGGTACGTAACCCCGGTGGTGTCGAGTGGACTGTCTGCTTACAAGAGTCTCTTTTTGGATTACGAAATACGAGCCCTGTACGTGATAACAAAACTGTACAGATCTGAGTTCCTAACTTTAAAATCAAACAAAGGAACACACCTTGTGTTATTCACTGTGGCGGGTGAAGATGTCCATCTATGATGCGTGGAAAGGAATTGCAGTCACATTTTTGAGTTTTGACACTTCTGTGGTTTTTTTTATTTTATTTTTTATTTTTATTCCTTTCTCTACTTTAATTTCTTGCCATTTTTTTCCCCCAGTTGGGGGGTGGTCAGCGCGCTTGGTTTGTTTTTTAATCTTTTTTTTTTTTTTTTTTGTACAGCGTATACCTTGTACAGTAAAAAGACACCTCTCTGTAGCCTCATGAAAATTCAGTGTTAACCCAAAAACACTGACTTAGTGTTGCTCACGGAGGCTAACGCGGCAGACGGACTACCTAGAAAACCTTGAAATGTATTCACTTCGTAGATTGCAGTAAGAATCACTGGTCGCTTTGTGGCGGATTGTGGATCCCAAGTGAAAGATTGAAGGCAGAATTCCACTTGGGAGGTCACCTCATCACCTCTGATTTCGACTCCCTCTTCTGTGCCTCGTCGTAAAAAGGAAGTCCACAAAAACCACGTCTTCAAAAAGCCATGAAGGTCATTCATTTAAAAGTTAGAAAGGCACATCGCTTTAACCTACAGTCTTCTCCTGTTTCTGCGGTTTGATCCTGTACAATTTGTGATTCGACATCTAAATTTTCAGTCTGTTGACAATTAGGGGAATTACCCAGGGCTGCGAATGGCATTAGGGTTTATTTGTGCTAATGTAGGATTGTTAGACTTGTATGGCTCAGGTTTGAAATTTAGTTGGGCTGTATCTTGGATAGTGAATAACATTTTCACCCAGGTGATACTGAAAGGATGGAAATCATGCTAATGTTTGTTGAGCAGTGTTTTTGACATGTCACGATAGTTAGTTTTACCGACTTCAACGAAACATTTGCTACATGGCTGTATTACAGATAGCGTTACATAGTTTGGTATACTTACCTGATAAAGCATCGATGCGTCATCTGATTCTTAGTCTGTTTTGTGGTTATATGTGAGATGCCCCATAAACATGCCTGCTCGTCATCGTCTTTCAGATTCAGAGTTGTACAGGGGTGTGTGTGAGCGTGAGAGAGATTTCAATCTAGGATGACCTGTAGTGAGCCTGATAGATCTAACTGTATTGAAATCTAAAGTGTGGTTCAGCCCTTTTCAAGACGTTGGGTTTTCTCTATAAGCATGATCTATAACATAGTTCTGTGCTCTTTCGAATGCAGACGTCTCCATGGTTTGTTTTTAATTTATCTGATCAGTTTGACCGCTTTGAACCCGGGATTGTTATTTCTTTAATCCGCCCTGAGGATGTTTTGAATGTCAGCTTGGGTTAGCTCTCGGCAGAGTTAACCTTTGCTATAGTTGACACATTCAAGGCAGTTGAAAGCAAAGTGAATGTTATACATTATTTTGTGGTGAGGTTTGTGATGCACATCAAAAGCTAAACCTTACCCATGGTGTGTGTGTGTGTGTTTGTATGTTTGTTTGTTTGTTTCCCCCCCATGCAGCAAAATAAAGAAAAATTGTGTATTCGCACAGAGAGGGACCCACGTTTTTGTTTTTTTTGTTTTTTTAGGATTTTAAACTTGGTCCCTGTTGGTTGAGCTGTGGTTCAGCAACACTGATAAGAATTTCATGTTAAGGTTTTTGGGGGGTTTTTTGTAACAAGCAACTCAGAAATCTTGTTTTACTTGACATCTGTGCAGTATTGTACTAATAATGTACTAGATCCAAGGTGACAATTGTAATAAAAATGGCACATTATGTTGCAGCAGTGCTACAGGGAGTTAACAGTTCATTTTTATCTTCTTTTGTTTTGCCCACCCCTCCAAAACTCATAAGATTGGTTGTCAGGTTTATTTGCAATAAATTGATGATATACTCAGCTGTGGCCTGGTGTTCCTCTGGTAAACAATCTTCTCAATGACCAATCTTATTTTACTGATAGCTGCCTTTTTTAAAATTCGAGTTATCTTTAACTTAAGAACTAAAGCCAGTGAATGATTACACTTCCCACTGCAACTTGAATTCTAGATTATTTCTTTAAAGATTAAAGCATTTTTATGTTTATTTCATATCCTTTTGGCTTTTTCCCCCATTCACTTCTTTCAGACAACAAGCTTGCAGGTTTAAACAGAGACTCCGCACATCTATATCATAGATGCTAGCGTTCACAGAGCCTCACAATTGTGACTGTAAACCTGCACAAGAAGTCCAGAGCTGGGCTACAGTCCTGCAACTATAACCACACTCCTCTCCCAGAACCTGCTGCATACAATAAGGATGAAGGATTTGAGTGAAGTGACTGGTCTATTCATCTGTAGACGAGACTCCCAAGGCCCTTTCTCTATTTTATCAGCACAGCTGCAAAGAGCAGGAACCCTCATCCTGTAAAGTCACCTCCCCCATGTGTTGACTGTATCTCCTCGAGCAGTTGCATGCTTCTGGTGTGGAGTCGATGCTCACCTCCCATCCTGTCTTGTGCTTGTGTGGATTTGTTCCCTGCGCTGGCCGACTGCTGCCGTCAGGGGATTTAGCAGGCACACGCAGCATGGAAAACAGCAGTTTTGTTTTAATAGAAACTTATGTATTTGGTACCTAGTGTGTGATACTCGAGGGTTTAAAAGTCAAAAGGGTTTTGGTTTTTTTTGGTTTGTTTCAGTAAATCCATTCTTTGTTTTATTTTTT